TGTAGCTGTTGTATGACTGAGCCGTGAGATGCGTTTTGAGATAGAATTGCTGTATCATCAGCATACATTGCTAGGGTGGTGTGTGGTGTGTGTGGGATATCGTTCGTGTAAATATTGAAGTAGAGCGGGCCCAAAATGGACCCCTGTGGGCCCCCAGCCCTGATAGGCCTGGGGGTAGAGATGGTGTTGTTAACACGAACGACAAAGTGTCGACCCATAAGGTAAGAGTGTATGATGTGTGTGATGTAATCTGGGAAGCCCAGGTTTATGATTTTGTATATGAGGCCCTCCAGCCAGGCTCTGTCAAAGGCCTTGGAAACATCAAGAAAAATAGCTCCTGTGATGGACTTGTCCTGTAGGCCTTGAGACACCAGTTCAGTGACTCTGTAAAGTTGGTGGTTCGTAGAGTGCAGCTTCCTGAAGCCATGTTGTTCATTAATGAGTAGACTATTTTCATTCAGGTGCTGTAGTAAACGTTGCTGGATGAAAATTTCAGCTACTTTGCTTGTTGAAGATAATAAACTGATGGGCCTGTATGACACAGGGTCTGTGATGGGTTTTCCAGTCTTGATGAATTGGGTGAGATGACAGCAGTCTTCCATGGCGAAGGAAAGTGCCCCAGGTGTAGCATACTATTGATGATTTTTGTGAAGTTTGATGATCATGAGGGTTCCCATATTTTTAACCATCTTGTTGCTCACAGAGTTGAGTCCAGGACTTTTCTTGGTCTTGAGTTTTGTGATGTATTCAAAGACCTCTGAAGGCCTGACAGGAGGAGTGTTGGTTGTGTGTGGTTTTTGAGAGGAACGTTTGTTAGTGTTTGTGAAACAAGGTGTTCTGTTTGAGAGTGGGATATGTTGTTAGTGCAGAACTGAGTAGCATAGTGATCAGCGAGTGACTCAGCTTTCTCAGTATCGGTGTAGGCAATTCCTTGAGGGCCAGTAAGGGGCGGAATGTTTGTGTGGCATCTCAGAAGCTGGTTGGTGGCTTTCCAAATAGTATCTTCATCAGAGGAGAGTGAAGAAAGGTAAACGGCCCAGTCGCGGTCTGTTTGTTTACGTGTAAGGGCCCTGACCTGGCGGTTAAGCTGGTTGAGTAGTGCTCTATCGGGAGGGTATCTTGATCGCTTCCACTCTCTCCTTGCAGCATTTCTTCTTTGAATAAGTTGTTTGATTTCATTGTTTGTTTTGGTTTTACCACTATCGCATGCAGTTTTACTATTGGCTTTCAGAGCATTCTGAAGCTGCATGGTGAAGTCATTGACTATAGCATCTAACTCATCGCCTGTTTGTGCTGTTGGAATGTGTATTGTGGTGTTGTTTAAGGCTTTGGTATATCCAGACCAATTAGTAATGAAGGCCTTTTTGTGTGGTGTGTTACAGACGATAAGGTCAAGATCTATCAGAACTGGATTATGGTCCGATGACAATTCATTCAAACTGTCAACGGATTTAAAAGTACAGCCCTTGAGCAAGAAAAAGTCAAGGATTGAGGCAGACCTTTCGTCGTAACGTGTTGGGGTTTGTGGAGCTGCAATAGTGATACCGGCCTTAGTAGCGAAGCGGTGTATCACGTTTCCAAGGAATGTGTTGTGGGTGCAGTTTCACGCGCGGTGTTTTGCATTAAGATCTCCGCCTATGATGACTTTACTGTTGAGTTTAGTAAGTGCGTCAAAATCTTGCACAATGTTTACATGTGATCTGCTGTTAGAAGGGACATAGGCAGAGATAAAAGTGACTGGTCGTGTGGTGGGTGGTGTGACTGTGATAGCTAGGGCTTCCAGCGAAGACGGTACTACTCGGGTATAAGAATTATTTGAAAAATAAATGGATTTTATTCATTGTAAATTCCCGATTTTTTTTAATTTACTATATTCTGTATGGTTGCTAAGGCAGGCTCCACAGATACACTACCTATCAATTCCTACAGAACTGGACAGGCAGACTGCCAGTACATTGTGCATTTCGATTTCCGACGAAAAAATGCTTTCCTTCTGGAACATCTATGTGTTTGGCTCACTACTGTCTTCAACCTGTACAGACTGATATTATATATCTGGTATCGATTTTACCTGCCTTCTAATGAACTCATAGATAATATCAACCGAAAACGCTTAAGATAGCACTTAAGCGTCTGCATCATTTGTTCTAACCGATGATTTTAATGACGACAATCCTCTTTGAGGAAGTACGGATAAGAACTGAAATATGTAAACAGAGCTACTAAGTATGTGACTGCGTATGCCTCCATAACGATCGATAGCAAACCCATATCTACCAATTTAAAAGGCTACTTGACAACACTGATCTGGTTATATGTACGCCATTACATCTATCATTTTATACATTGAGAATCTAGAGTGATCCAATTAATACTGAATATTTCCCAATATTTGCGTGTTTTGAAGGAATATGAGTGTCGGACATATTTAGAATTCCAAGGTTTCTTTAAGAGTGAGAGACTTGACCTTGTTTCCATCTCTAGCTTTTCTTACGAATGAAAAAGTAAGGTGTGTAAAAATAGATGATACTGTGAAGGCCGTTACTGATCTCTGGCGTTCAGAAACCACAAATCTGTATTCCTACGTCATCAGACAGACTTCCTAGATACATATCTAAAATCATAACAGAACCCTATGAAGAGAACTTTAGTTAAGACATATAAGACAAACCCTAGTCTCATAATATTAGCAATTCCATGCTGAAGCATTCGTTGACTGAGTCTTTTATTAGTTTCCCTTCTTACTCTTTGTAATAGAGGTTGTAGCAGGACATTTAATGTTTGGCATAGAGAAATCCAAAAAACAAAATTTGGAAAAGCCAGAATTTCAATAATGTTCCGTTATATATTAAAATATGCTTTTTACTATATTTGCCCATCAGCAGCCGAGAGGTAAAATCACTGAACACTGATAGTTCGAATCTCGGAGAATGGGCTGGCTGCATGGGTGTTTTCTTGATTTTCTCCATGTGTAACGTATATACGAGCCAGTTTCCTTTAAAGAGTCCTCCAAGAAGGCATCCCTCCCTTTAGTCAGATAGCCCTTGAGTGTTTAGCTGCAATCAAACAAATCGCCAGAATTTTGCACTAACGAACCACCTACGCAAACTTTTGGGAGGAGGATGGCATACTGCAGCCTTGATCGTTATTTAGAAGAAAATGATAGATAATACCTTTCCTAATCACAATGGTTTTCTAGAAAAGATCAATACTGAAAATGTACTTCTGTTCAGAGAGCTATATTTTCTGCTGCTTTTTTTAAGAGGAATCACTTGATGTCAATATTTTTGTGACAAAGAAAAAAGTGTATGAATTGGAGTTCTCTAAAATCTGTTCATTGTTGTTTGCAGAGACCTTCCAATTTTTAAACAAAAATTTTAATTTGCCCTCATCTCGCTTCAATCACGTGCACCTCGACTTGGTCGGGCACTTATATTTATCAATAAAAATATAATACATCAATAAATTAATTACTATGTATACATTTTTCTTACCTTGGATGAAGCAAATTTATCATTTACTTCATCGAAGTCGATCCTTTCAAATTTTTCTCTTTCCACACTTAAAAATGCTAGAAGACGTAGGGGATCTTGTCCTATCGTTGATTGTAAATATGTGAAAATTTATTTTAATTTGCTGAGCAGCATTTGATAATGAAATAGTATTTGAAGTGCGACTCCTAGGTTTGGAAAAACATTTTCTCTATAGATATGTAGTGGAGGTTTAGGTTCCGTTTCTTTTCTACTGCGGAGTAACGTCATGCAGTCATATTCACTGCTCAAAACAATTAGGGGATATTGTGGGTTCGGTATGAAATAACCATATAATCGATAACGTTTTTGAACAAAAGGAAATTGAAGAGATTATAAAGCAAAATTATAACGTTTACAAAGTTGGGAATATGCAAATTTAGTCTGTGACGTCGAAAACTATGCGTTTTATATAAGGAGTGAGGAGCGACCTGCAGTATTCTTTTTGTAATAAGAGATTAAAAACAATTGGCATGCGTTGAATGCTTCGTAGCAGTGACTATATGATGTCTCAGGAAGATGACTTAGTTGAATCGGTAGCCAGGAAGTTTACAGGAGTTTTACAGGATAGTCAAACGCAATCCATTGTAGCGAAAGCGTTAGGATTTTCCCAAAATGTCATTTCCAGATTATGGAATCGAATTTTGAAAACTGCATATGTTTGAGAAATTCCGGACAAGGTCGTGTTATCATTTTAAAATAAAAAGCGAGAGATATACGTGTATTTCGTTTAAAAAATAAAAACATATCTCTACTTTGGAAAAATAAAGTGGTCAGAAAGAACGTTTTGGTTGATGTACTGCAAATATTTTATCAGACAAATCAAGAAAATAAATAATTAATTATATTACAACAGTTATTAATTTTAAATATATTTTCCAATAATCCATTAAAATAAAAAATGAAATTTTCCGGAAAATTTGTTTGGAGACCATTTGACGCCCCTCTACGAGCGGCGCCCGGGGCATCATGCACCCCCCCCGCGCTACGCCACCATGGAGGTAGGAAGTAAGATGGAGTTGCCCTAAACAAGTTTCTCCCGTACCCTGCTCTGAAGCACCGGCGATCCCTACGTGGTGACCAAAACATTGGGTCATTTACCATTGAGTTCAATGGGATATGACTCGTTCGGATGTAAATATTTTGTAATTACGTCGTAAATATACATAAAATGTATATATTTTCTTTTTCTACAACACTTCAGAGTCCTAAGTATATGAAAACAACATATTTTTAAACAACATTTCATTCTGAACGGAATTAAATGCTATACTTTTCACAGGACAGTTTTCTTAGAATGGTTTAATTTGAATGAAATATTTTCACAAGTTTTCGTTAATTACATTAGAAAAAAAAATTAATTCGATTTGATTCGGTTAAGGTACAAAAATTAAGATCAAAGTTTATTGTATTATTAATATTAAAATTATGCATTATTTCTTTTCTATTTATAGAGCTTCTTCCTAAAATACTTTCTTAAATATGACATGATTTTTTGGCTTCTGAGGCATCTTTTAAATTGAAAAATGTAAGTCAATTTATAATTAATGCTCTATTCAGTTCATTTTAAATTAGAAAATTATTAGGAATTAGTGAAATACTTTAAATAGTACTTGACTTTCTCTGAACATTTCTGAAAGGGAATAAAATAATTTTTTTTTTTTTTTTTTTTTTTTTTTAAGTATTACTTAAAACTTGTAACTGAGTTATTATAAAATGTAAGGGGAATAATTCTTTTAATTATACTTATCAGATTTTTTTTTTTACCCTTCATTTCAACAATACATATTCCAAAACTCTTTATTACTTTCTTAAGTGTGCATCTCATAGCATTTGCTTTACAATACCTTTCAACAGATTGCTTTCCAATACGAACAGTTCTTGCTTAAATAGTTTTATAACGTATTTGTCAACAGGATTTCAATATATGTTTACAATTCAATATTAAGGTTATTATATATTTAGATAACATTTATAATCATCATTAAATTAGATACATTTAATCATTAGATTTCTTCACAGTACTTTCACAGTTGTTTTATAAGTTAATAAATTCTTCATTTCAAATAAATACATTTATAAATAATTTAATGAATATTTATGAATTTTGTCAAAGGCAGATACATGCTTTTTGCAATAATATATGGATGTGAAAAAAAAATTTGTTTTATTTAAAACATTTTGGCGTTTGGAAAATAAAATAAAAGTAGCGAATACTCTATCAAGGGTATCGAAAGACGTATACAATTTTAAATGTACCGTAAGGTATTTTTCATTCTTTAAGCATAACATTTTTCTTAAAATCTATATTTTTGTAATTCAACAGCTTAGAATTTTATAAAACAAATTCATAATCAAAATCGCCCTGTTGTTAGTTATCGAAAAATAACTAAGATGTGATTTTTGCGTAAATGTCACTAAACTATACAAATTGCTATTATCCATCACACTATGAATGTTTCTTTCATGCGAAAGTGTCCCTTTTTCGATTTGTATGGAACTGTCGTGTGTCGAAATACTATCAGAACCGTGTCAAGCGAGCTTCTGAATGTAAACAAAGAACACCCCATCTGGTGACCCAAGCTTCAAAGTAGTGCTTCACTTCTAGTGCGGACTGGCCCCTCCTTCCTTTCCTACCTCCATGTACGCCACTGCCTGATACAGGAGTTCATACACAAACAGTTGAGATAATGTGAGGCAGTGCTAAATGGAGGAATAAAAGACATAGGGGGACAGCGAGCCATCATTTAGAATCTTATTTATCAGAGTTTATATGGCGATAGCATCAGGTCAAAGAAAATAGAGACTGTTTTGAACCTATGTTAAACTCTATATCGGCCCATTTTCCACCAAATTCCGATTGACTACTTTGATTTTAAATAAAGCGTTTTTATCTTTGAAAGTGTTTTGATTTAAAATAAAGTGTTTTAATTTATGATTTGTCGCAAAAATTTTAGATGTAGATTGGAGGCACTTAATAACCGCCAAATCTGCAGCTGCGGTGGCGTTAATACGCAAGTACCCAAAAAGCTTCTTTCGAAAGCTGGAAAATCTAATAATCTCCTACACAGAAACTGCCATCGATGCTAAGGGAGTTATTTTACTAATGAAATTAATTAAGTATCTTAGTAGTAATTAGTACCATAGAGAGGAGGAGGAGGGCCGGAGGAAGACAGTTGGTTTTCTTATAAACTTCACTTTTTGCCTTGTTTTTTTTAATAATATATTAAGGAGTTTGACTCTATCAGTTCTTATACGCAAAGTTCACATGCTAATTATTTAAAAAAAAAGTGTGTGTACATAATTCACTTCTGTAGTGAAATATACTCAGTTATAAGTCTTTTGGTCGATAATTTTTATTTATGTTTTTGGTTGTTAAAATTATAGCTTTTAAATTTTAAGCAAATATGCATTCTTTCTAAAAGTAATTACCCAAGTTTATCTTATTTTCTTGCACTATTAAGAGCCCATGTCATAATAACTACCAAGTCCCACACTTCACACCACTATCACTACTCATCTCTCGTAAATTCTCTCTCTGCGGTCTATTGCATTCAAAAAAGAAGGAAAGAAAAGAAACTGATACAGCTCACTGTATATCACTATTGTATTGAAACTATCATCCTTTCAGTAAAATTTTCAGAGGAACAAAGATGAAATTCTACATTTAGAGATCTAGACTGTAACACAAATACGGCAATTTAAAAGATTTTTACTTTTGTGGCATACCTCTAGCAAGGGTCGGCAACGCAGTTTTAAATTGCTCACCATTCAAATACCTAAGTTCCAAAATTTTACGTATTTGGACAATAAATAGTCGTAACTGTAATGAATAATTTTAGTACAAATTTTATCTTCCCCATTTTAACGATTGTATGAACTGCACAATTAAACTTCCGACAAAAACTGAATCTTAGCTTTCAAATATCTATATTTACTGATGGATTAGCATTAATTAAAATTTGCATTAGAGTAAAAGAATTATCTGGAAGTTCCTAAGCTACCAAAATTAAAAACATCAAAGATTTCAACAAGTTATAAATAATTCTTCAGTATATTCCAAATAAATTTTTGCTATTATATAGCAAAATTTTTCTGAAACTAAACACTCACATTGACAAGAGTTCCAAATCAGAATCTACAAAACTGTTATTATTGAAACTTATTTCATGCTTTTATTAGTTGCTAAACATATTCTACTCTTTCAAGATTCAAAAGAAAATGTTATTGTTTTCTCTATGCAAATTTCATGTCTGGCAAAACAGAAAATATTATCACCTCACTTGTGGGAAGTATTTATTGTAGGCTTGTAAACTAGCTAATCTAGTTAAAAAAAAAAAGAAAAAAGAAAAAAAAAAGAAAAGAAAAGAAAAAAAAAAAAAAAAAAAAGAAAGAAAGAAAGAAAAGAAAAATTGCACAGCTAATTAACATCTAAAGACATTATTGAAGGTATTCTTACTATATAAATTTCAAATAATGGGAATATTTATTTATTTTTAATTTTTAGTTGCATCACTTAAGCATACAATACATTCACTAGAATAATGGGAATATAGAAATTGTTATACTACATCCATATGGAAGGAATATTTATTACAAATATCATACACAAGCAATCCAATAAGAAAAAAAAAAAAAGAGCACAGCTACAATTAAATGATTATGCTGTAATTTTTTTTATTAAATAAATGCACGTCTCCATGACAGAGTAATATTGTACCTTATTTGTACTATTTGTCATAACAATTTTCAATAGCATGCTTTCAATAAATGATTTTATTTTGCACCTTGAATTTTTGGAAATTTAATTCTGAAGTTATTAGGTCTTGTAATACTTGGTTTAAAATGAATTCAAGTTTTTAAATTGAAATCTGATTATGAAGACAAACACTGTAATTTAAAAAAAATTTTAAATGAAAAATCTTTTTTAAGGCAATCTAAAATTTTTAGAGCATAGAATTTTTTTGGTGGATATGGTAGTAAATATTCATACAGTTAAATGACAGTACTTTTAGCTTTCATCATATATTTTCTCCCAACTCCACTAATTGGTCACTGGCTCACTAGCTTAAAGTATAATAATAAATAAATATGCAATATCTTTTTCCCAAAATTATCAATACAACAATATTGCTGAAAAGGTATTCCCAAAAATGTTCGTTTTATTCCAAAAACTAACTTCAGCTGGAGAGGTACACAAATGTATTACATTTTACGTTTTTGTTTCCAATGCTATACTTGTTTTTAACATTTAATTGCCCAAAACAGAAACACTAAAAAGAAAAAAGTTTTTTTTTAATCTCTCTATCCCCACTTAGTGAATTTCAGGTTCTTTTAAAATGTGCAGAAAACAAAAGCAAAAGAAACTTACATATGTAAGAAATAAAATTATTTTTGCTTTTCTTAATACATGAATGAATATTTTTACATCACAAATTTAAACACATAATATAACTTCTCTTAGTCCAGAAAGGGAGAGTCTAGTTTCCAAATGAAAGGATACTTTCATTTGTTGATAGCAGGTCCCAGCTCTCACTAGACAAAGATTAATTGAGAATCACTCTGTGTATCAAACCTTGACCCTTCACAGTAGAGGACAATCTAGCTGTGGCTAAGAATGGTATGAGAAAAGATGGGCTGTTTTATACAATCGCTTAAGGGGAAGACATACTGCTGGACACTATGTTTAAAGGTACCGCTCTGCTAGGTATTTGAATACAGTCTCTCTGGATACTATTATTTGAGACACAGCCGCAAGTTTCTAAGAAAACTCTGTGACCATTATATCTTTATAATTCAATTCTCTGTAGGAGTTGTGGCTCTTTAACATGCCCTCTAGTGATAGTAAAAATAGTTTAGAACTGATACCATAACCTGAATACCATCAGTAAAGACACTCTTAACTATCAAGAAGCCTGAGACTGGCCAACTATTCAAGACACTTATAACTATTGAGTGACCTCTATTTGAGAGTTGGCCAACAATTTGAGACACATATAACTATCAAGCATCCTTCAATTGAGACAGACCAACATCAAGCCTGCCAGTGATTCTTCATCTTAATACATAATCTTAAAAATTGTGATTTTAATTTCCAAACACAATTCTGTAAACAAATTTCATAAACTTAAAAATTGATTACTTTCACTTCTTAAAAAACTTTTTAACCTTTTAACAATCATTATGTACTTGTATTACATTTAATGCTCCTCAAATTATATATCATATCCGTTTAAAACTATTAGTTCTACCTATTTTGAACTATTGCCAAAATGTGTTTGTAATTTTAATTTTGGATACCAGTGTATTACACTTCGTTACATTAAAATTAGGTAATATTTTCACCTAGTTAGCTCTTATCTTAATGTAGGTAATATTTGGCACTGAAAGAATTCAAGTCTCTTAATTTACTCTTTACATTTTATTTCAGTTCAGAGAGGTTTTGGATAAAGGATAATTTGAACTATTCTCTTTTATGCAGTGGGAAATGTATTTCAGCAGATGGATGATGACAGCATGTTATGTGTGAATGTGAGGATGGCAAATGTGATCTTCAGATGCTTATTTTAAAACTACAGAATACATATAGAGGGGTAAAAAATCCGATGACTGTTGTAGGTTGAAATTTAATGATGTTTGCTTGCTCCCTCACTGCAAGTGTTTAAGACTATAAACCACTGATATCTACTTTATCCATCAATGATTATTAATGAGATATGGGAAAGATGTGTTTCACAGCATGTTGTTCCTTTACACTGAAGATCAAAATTTACATTATTAAAACTCATTTAACCACATATGGCTTTACATTAAAAACATTTATTTATTAAAATCTTAAAAAATAGAAACATTTTAAAGAAAAGAAAAGTTTATTAATATAAAAGCACATTTTTGTATTTCAAGGGACAGGTGATCACAGAAATATACAAAAATAGATTATCACAGGACAAAAATGGATTATCACAGAAATAAGCAATATTATTGATCACAGAAATGTATAAAAAATTCCTGAGTTGTTTACATAGTACAAAAATATAAAACATCTTGGAACATTACACTCTGCCTTTATCATACAGCAGACTCTGTTGTAACCAGTCTGGCTGTAATTGGTCATATTTAAAGCTTTTTTTCGGTTGAAGTTAACCAGCTCCTCACTGTAAATTGTAAGAAATGTGCACCAAATTGCACTTAGATTACATTATTACTTTATATAGAAAATAAGTAAAAGTATTGATAATCATATTTTTAAAAATGCTTGAGTTTCAATAAATGGTTGTTATCTATGCCTTTGAGATCCTAATTTCATCATATACAGTTCTTATTTATTTAATTTTTAAAAATTTGTATTAATCTGAAATGATAAATTAAGAAAAACGAAAAAAAAAAAAAAAATTTTAACCCTCTGAGCGCCAAGACCAACTTTATCCGGTCATCAGATTTTTTGTCACTTGTTATATACAGTCAAAAGTCGTTCATCCGGACTCGTCGGGACTTCGGCGATTCTGGATTATTGATTTTTCCTGTTTATAGATGATCATCAGTTTAAATCTGGTAAGATGGCATGCAGAAATTATAAAATTAAAAATATGAAACCGTAATTTATGAAATAAAGAATGATCTAAAGGGTATCAAAATTTACAAAAAAAAAAAAAAGCTTAATATTTATCTGTTTACTTTATTAAACATTTCTTTCACTTCTTCACTTTCAAGTTCTTTCGTTTTTTATGTGATAATACATTCTCTTTAATTCTATAAATAGACATAATTTCTTGTTCAGTTACAAAGTTCCGTTGTTCAAGTCCTATAATTGCTGTGTCGAGAATACCGACTAATTTGTCAATCAAAATTTTTTCGTTTTCAATAACCTCTGTCACTTTCTTCGCAATTGGAAGCGAATTATAATGACGAGGAATTTGATTTAAATCATATCAAAGACGGAGTACATCAAGATGAAAAACTACATTTAGTAAGGAATTATAAGCCAAATAAAATAAAAACATCTGCCCTGAAGATAAGGATAGTGCTGACAGATCAACTTCCAATTCATTGCGTGCCACGGCGTTAAAGATAAACAAAGTTTAGATAAACAAACGTTAAAGTTTAGATAAACAAAGGATATGCCTTTATCCATTTTTTGCAGCAATTCCACTTTTTGTTTGATGGACATTGGAACATGCTTTCACTTTGTAGATCCTTTGATAGCTCCAGAATCGGAAATTCTTTTTGACATAATCGAAAGTTCAAGCTTACTTTTATAAAATTGCTCTAAGAGTCTGCAAAAAATAATAAGCCGGATCCAATTAGAAGATTAAGGAACAGCGCAGTCTGCAACATTAACTGAATTAGATAATTTTAGCTTAGCTTATACCATCCGTTATACATTAATGTGCGCATGCACATATTTACGCATGTGCATTTAATGTACAACGGACGGTATAAGCTAAGCTAAAATTATCTAATTCAGTTAATGTTGCAGACTGCATTGTTCCTTAATCTTCGAATTGGATCCGGCTTATTATTTTTTGCAGACTGTTAGAGCAATTTTATAAACGTAAGCTTGAACTTTTGATTATGTCAAAAAGAATTTCGATATATATTTACTAATATGTAAAGGATCTACAAAGCGAAAGTATGTTTCGAAGTCCATTAAACAAAAAGTGGAATTGCTGCAAAAAATGGATAAAGGCATATCCTTTGTTTCTCTAATCATTTCAAAATCTGTTTATCAATTTCACGCTGCTCTGCGGGCGGGGCGGGGGGGGGGGCGCAATGAATTAGAAGTTGATCTGTCAGCACTATCCTTATCTTCAGAGCAGATGTTTTTATTTTATTTCACTCATAATTCCTTAATAAATGTAGTATTTCATCTCGATGTACCCCGTCTTTGATATGATTTAAATCAAATTCCTCATCATTATAATTCACTTCTGACAGGAAAAAAGTGCCACAGAGGTTCTAGAAAACGAAAAAATTTCGATTGACAAGTTAGTCGGTATTCTCGACACAGCAATTATAGGACTTGAACAGCAGAACTTTGTAACTGAAGAAGAAATTATGTCTGTTTATAGAATTAAAGAGAAAGTATTATCACATAAAACCAAGCAACTTAAACAACTTACATTGAAAGAAATGTTTAATAAAGTACACAAATAAATATTAAGCTTTTTTTTTTTTTTTTTTTTTTTTTGCAAATTTTGATACCCTTTAGATGATAATTGTTCTTTATTTCATAAATTATGGTTTCATATTTTTAATTTTATAATTTCTGCATGATATCTTACCAGATTTAAAGTGATGATCTATAATCCGGAATCGCCGAAGTTCCGACGAGTCCGGATTAACGACTTTTGACTGTATATTTAGTTAATAAAGGCACTTTAAATAAAGATCATGACAGATCCAAAACTCCAAGCCGCTCAGAGGGTTAAATAAAATTTAAAAACATTTTAACATAATAATACCTGCAAGATGAATATGTAATGAAACGAATTTAACACGTTAAGTATGTGATAAATGACTGACAGCAGGCAGAAGAATCTGCAGACAATGAAGTTATAATGTTTAGGTAGAAATAGGTGACAAAGAATTACAGAACTCAGAAGTTATAAGTGAAGAGAATGATTACAAAAAGTTTATTCATTCGGCTTCGCCGGTTAACAGATCATGGCAAAGCATGCAAAACCTGCTTCAGTGTTTCAGTGAGGACTTTCTCAAAAAAACTCATGAGACACATGAGCAGAATCACAAAAACCCCATGCAGCCAGCACATTCACCTAGATTAAATTCCATGGCAGACTACCAGTATTTAGCAGATACTGTTAGACTACTGGAAGGGTTCTTTTAGAAAAAATGAAAAGAACTAAAGTAGGATTGAAATATTTGTACACATCACATGACTAAAAATTCCATTTGCCATTGATGTTATCTACAAAAATGATAAGCTAAAGCAAAAAGAGTTTGCTTCAAAATAAGAACTACATAACAGAAAAAGATAAAAATCGATGGATTCTTTAAACAAAGAAATAAATGTTCAGTAAAAACTTATATACATAAAAATACTTTTTCAAGCTGATTTTGAGTTTCAAAATGTTATTTTGAATTAACTACCCACTCATTTATCTAAGCTATAGTCAAGTATCGTAGAGACTCGTTAATGGAGTCTACTATACTTTCTAAATATTATTAAGAGAGATTTTTTCACTGTTTTAAAACAAGTTTTCACAATATAAAAAAAGTGATACAGTATTAAACAGTGCATTAAAAGAACACATACATGCCATACTGGTCTGAATATAAAATGATATATTTTGGGAAAGATGCGCACACAGCATGTTGTTGCTTTACACTGAAGATCAGAATTTACATTATTAAAATAGATCTAACCCCATATGGTTTTACATTAAAAACATTTATTTATTTAAATCTTAAAAAATAGCAATATTTTAAAGAAAAGAAATGTTTATTAATATAAAAGCACATCGTCATATCTCATAAGATAGGTGATCACAGAAATATGCAAAAATAGATTATCACAGGAATAAAAGTAGATTATCACAGAAATGTATAAAAAATTCCTGAGTTATTTACATAGTATAAAAATATAAAACATTTTGGAACATTACACTCTGAATTTAACATATAGTAGACTCTGTCATAGCCAGGCTTGCTGTAATTGGTCATATTTAAAGCTTTTTTTAGGTTGGGGTTAACCAGCTCCTCACTGTAAATTGTAAGAAATGTGCAGCAATTTGCACTTAAATTTTTCATTATTACTTTATATGGAAAATAAAGTTAAATAAGAGCATTGATAATCCTATTTTTAAAAATAGTTGAGTTTCAATAAATGGTTGCTATCTGCACCTTTGAGATCCTACTTTCATCATATACAGTTCTTATTTATTTACTTTTTAGAAATTCGTATTAATCTGAAATGATGATTTTTTAAAAAAAGGGGGGGATTTAACCCTCTGAGCGCCAAGACCAACTTTATCGGTCATCAGATTTTTTGTCACTTGTTATATATTAACTTATAATTTAAGATATTTTGCTTTCTTACTTTTATTAATAATATAAATGCTTTCTTGATGAATGTAAGTTTATGAAAATAGCAACTAAAATAGGTAAATATACATAGTTAATAAGGGCTCATTAAATACAGATCTGCATGACAGATCCAAAACTCCGGGCTGTTCAGAGGGTTAGATAAAATTTAAAACCTTTTAAGAACATAATAATACCTGCAAGATGAATATGTAATGAAACGAATTTAACACACAAAGCATGCGATAAATGACTGACAGCAGGCAGAAGAATCTGCAGAGAAAATGTAGTTATAATGTTTAAGTAGAAATAGGTGATGAAGAATTACAGAACTCAGAAGCTATAAGTGAAGAGAATGATTACAAAAAGTTTATTCATTTGGACTGGCCAGTTAGCAGATCATTGCAAAGTATGCAAATCCTGCTTTAATGAAGAGATATCTTCAGGGAGGACATTCTCAAAGAAACTCATGAGATACATGAGCAGAATCACATCACAAAAACCCTATGCAGCCAGCACATTCACCAAGATTAGACTCCATGGCAGACTACCAACATTTAGCAGATATTTCTGTTAGACTACTGGAAGGGTTCTTTTAGAAAAAATGAAAAGAACTAAGGTAGGATTGAAATACTTGTACACATCACATGACAAAAAATTTCATTTTCCATTGATGTTATCTACAAAAAAAAAAAAAAAGGTAAGCTGAAGCAAAAGAGTTTGCTTCAAATCAAGTTATTTTACATAACAGAAAAAGATGAAAATTGATGGATTCTTTAAACAAAGAAATAAATGTTCAGTAAAAACTTATACACATACAAATCCTTTTACAAGCTAATTTTGAGTTTCAAACTATTACTTTGAATTAACTGAACCATTCATTTATCTAAGCTATAGTCAAGTACCATAGAGACTGGTTAATGGAGTCTACTATACTTCATAAATATTATTAAGAGAGATTTTTCACTGTTTAAAACAAGTTTTCATGATATAAAAAAGTGACACAGTATTAAACAGTGCCTTAAAAGAACACATACATACCATACTGGTATGAATATAAAATGACTCTACATTTTTAAAATTGTTTAAAAAAAAAAAAGAAAAGGATTGCATATAAGACAGTCAGGTACTTTGAGGCTTAAACGAAGATATGTATGGTGCCTCGTATGTAGACTATATAACAAAAGAAAAATAATTAAATACTTTAAATGCTATATTTTGAAGCAAAAATAAATATTATGTCATGAGGAGAAGTCGCTATAAATACTATATAATTTGAGGCAAAATAAATATGTTTTCAACTTTAAAAATAGGAAGGAATGATAAACTACACTGTTATATATTTTTTTAAACATTTAGTCAGAATAGGCGTTAGAAGATAATAGTTTACAAAAGATTATTAGGATAAAATTTGCTTGCTGTCTTACATTTGGAGAAATGCCAACTTTGAAATATGAAAAACCGGAGGTTCTTGTACTCAATACATAAGAGTTTCCAGGAGGTTTTTATGTTGTGTGGTGGTCCCATTTTCAAAGAACACTAAATTCATTTTAATTCATCTTATAATGCACGATTCACCTTATTGAACTATTTATTATATGATTCTGATGTAAAATACATTAATATTTAATAACATATTCTTATGTTTATGTTCTTTGGCTACTTTTGTTCTAATTTTTTTACACCTTTTTTTCCGAGAAAATTCTAAGTAGGGAAGGAAAGCTTTAATTTATCAGCATACTTTTTAATAAAAAAATAATAATTGATTAAAAAAATTAATAATTATTGTAAATACTATTGTATAGATATTTTTATTAATATAATTTATATTTATGTTAAACAAAATTAAACAGAAATAGTTACTGATTAAACATTTGATTGAATCTTCATATAAGATTCTACACATGTTTACAATAAATTAAGACAATTTGGATCAAATCAAATTTAATGCAAAAATTTTGCTGTAGATCACTAAGGCTGGAGAATGAAACTAAAATTATGAAAATTTCAAATCATTTCAAAATTAAACTTAAAACTGTGCATATTTTACTTGCACAAATTAATTTCATTAGCACCATTTAATTGTGTTGTTGAAAAATATTTTCATTACTAAAACTAAAAGTTAAAAACCAGGAGATTCTGTGATGTACTGGGAGACCGGGAGATGAGTTGAAATATTGCGAGAATTGACAGCTATGCAATACTGTATTTATGAATAAATAATTAAAAGTTACTAATATAAAGTGTTATTAATATATTAACGGTTTAGCAAATATATTATTATTATTGGTTCATTCACACAATTCCTTTTTGTTTTACCTTGCAAAAATTAATATAGAGTTGAAAATGGCATGGATAACAAGTTTAAGGCAGGCAGATATATTGATGTTGATTTACAGATAAGAGAATTAATTAGAGTTTTAAAAACAGTAAACACAGTAAAAGTCTCTGATAATAAGAGATTTACAGCTACATCTTAATGTGACTAATTTTCTTTTCTTTAATGACAAAAACGAATTGCAAATAAATCACTTGCACACAACTTATGCATTGATTCAAAAGAACTGATATTTATATATACATTATTGAAAAGTATATAATATTAAAAGCACTGAACTGAAAAATATCGTGGCAGTTTGCAGTGCCTTGAAGATGACTCGCGTTTTCTCTTAGATGAAGATGCCACTGATAAATCAAGTATACTGTACTTGTTCTCTAAAACTAATGATGAAAAATTAGGTTCATTTTGCCTGTCATCTGAAAATGAGTGCCGTGAAAAGGAAAAACCCTGAAAATACAAAAATCTGAAATTAATTTACAAAAATCTTGATTGCCTACAAATATTATGTGCAAATCGTAAAACAATTACTTACAGAAAATACATGTTTTTGACTGTCAGTTAGAGAACAGTCATCTGTAGCTATGTCTGGGACATCTGCAGCCATGTTTGTAAATTTATCAAATTGTGACACATCATCATCACTCAGCTAAATGGAAAAAATTAAAATCTGAATTATGATAATAATAATAAATACATTCAAAGAAAGTCATTCTCAATAAGATTATAAGATTCATTTACCTCAATACGATAAACATTCCATCTTTATTAACCCAAAACCATTTTATAAACCTATACTTTTAGATGACCAAAGACTTTTGTAAAAAATAGAAACAAATCAATTATGCAGATTACTGTCAACACTAATTTTATTACTTAGTATTTCATTTTCAATTAAATCACCTATAGCAAAGAATATAAATCTGCAATTCAAAAAATTCATCAAACTTTTATCATGGCAACCACCTTTAAATGATAAATCCCATATAGGGAAAATATAGAAAAAATTGCCAAAAAAATTTTTTTCAGAGAAAGAATTGCCTGAAGAAAGTAGATAGTAATGAAATAAGTAGCATAAAACTTTAAAAAAGTGTTACACTTAAATAATAGAAAATTTTTAAAACGTGCTTTATCTGTGTATCTGCTAAATATTGCACAAAATGAAATTTATAGAGCTTGTCAATCACAGAAGAAGAAGAAATACATAACAGAAAAAATATGGCATGTTAATCTAATCAAACTGAATGTTAAACTGTAGACTTGGACTGTAGGTGTGTTTTACTGTTCTATTCATTATGCACTAAGAATAAGATGACAAAATAGTTGAGTGAAATCACTCAAATTTTTTCCTAAAATAATTATTAATGTTGCATAGCTAAATGGGATTATAAACCAGTACACAATAAACAGATCATTTAAAGAAATAAAAATGAAATAAAATAAAGATTAATATCACTGATCTACAAATCCCCTTCTTTCCTGCTACAGAGATGAAATAAATTCTTTGTACAAAATCTCGCCTGAGTATGAATATGCATTTTATTTCTAAGCTTGGCTCTTGTTTAGAAGTTACAGCAAAATTCATGATAAATTATAACATTCATAAGCAATGTTTTTCTCGAATTTCAAGAATTTGCCATAACTGAATAAAGAAGTGAAATAAGCCTTTTTTAAATTTAATTTCGCCTCCTAAACACAAATACGCTTCAAGTATTTTTATTTAAGTTTTAATAAAATTTAAAATCTAGTTTTCTTATTAAATCTTTTTTGTAGGGGTGCATGAAAATGCAGTAAATGATGTCAAAACACTAATAAATCTTTGACGTTAAAATTTAAAGCTTTTAAACTTTCTTTGAGAGTAGTGATCAAGTGATTACTTTGGCCTTATTTTCTCAAATGTTGTCACATTACTGTGATATTACCAGATGCTCAACAGTATTTTCTTGTACACTCAGATTGTAATAAACACCCACCTTCTCTTCAGTTACACTAAAATGAGAGGTAATGGAAATTTTTTAATGTCATTTTTTGTGATCAACAGCCCTAAATTAAAAAAGATCAGACACTATCACTTACATAACAAAATGCATGTAAGGAAAATATATATTTACTCTTGATTCTAGAAATAAATTTGAACAAAAGAAACAATATAACTTCCATATTCATTATAAGAAAACTTCATAGCTAGACTTAAGATAATAAATGGTCTACTCTATATAATTAATTCTCGCCATTGACTAATAATGCAGCTACTAAAGAGGTCCTATATAATGATTCTACACAGCAATATGTATGAAAATCTGCAATGAAGTATAAATAAAGGAATTTGGGAAACTGAAAATGTACACTGATATCAAAATTATGCACTCTGTACAGTATAAAGTCCGTAATTCAGACGTCCATTATCCGGAATGATCTATAATCCAGACCTCAAAGCCACAAACTTACGTAATGCATTTACGCACGCGTGTTTAATGCGCACATCCACTACGCATGCGTGCTTCCGATAGTGAAGAAAGTGACAGAGAGGTTACTGAAAATGAAAAAATTTCGATTGACAAGTTAGTCAGAATTCTCGACACAGCAATTACAGGACTTGAAACAGTGGAATTTTGTAACTGAACAAGAAATTATGTCTGTTTATAGAACTAAAGAGAAAGTACTAGCACAAAAAAATGAAGCAACTTAAACAACTTACATTGAAAGAAATGAAGTAAACAAATAAATATTAAGCTTTTTTTTTTTTTTTTTTTTTTTTTTTTTTTGTAAATTTTGATACCCTTTAGATCATAATTGCTCTTTATTTCATAAATTACGGTTTCATATTTTTAACTGTATAATTTCTGCATGCCACCTTACCAGATTTAAATTGATGATCTATAATCCGGAAAAACCCCTAATCCGGAATCGCCGAAGTCCTGATGAGTCCGGATTACGGACTTTGTACTGTATTTCGAATTTTATAAACATCTTTTCAATATATGAGGCACATCCAGAAAGTAAGTTTCCTGATGTTTTCCCCTTTAAAGTAAACGTAATTAGCTGTGTTAACTGTGCATGCGTAACAGATCTATGACGTATCAATCAAATGCCAGTCGGTCGGATAGGTTCCCACCTCATGCCAGTAGCATGGTAGCAGTGGTCCGAAATGGAAGCTCTTATTCCTTCTCCCACCACCTGAGAGGCTCAGTTGGTGATAAAGTTCTTGAATGCACAAAGCATTACACCAATTACAATTCATCGCCAGCTCTGTGAGGTCTATGGGCCGAACATTATGAGTAAGCAGAGTCAATGCATTGGCGGCACAGTGGATCTCCAGTCAGGAGGAAATTCAAACAGATGCTGTCGGAACAGAAAGTGATGTGCACAGTGTTCTGGGACAGGTAGGATATTCTGCTCATTGAGTTCCTTCCACATGGTGAAACAGTAAATGCTGACCGTTACTATGAAACACTGCGCAAATTGCGACGTGCCATTCAAAACAAGAGGCGTGGAATGCTTACTGCAGGTGTTGTGCTCCTCCATTACATTGCTCGTCCACATACAGAGCTCGACGCACAGCAGCTGTTTTGATGGAATTTGGCTGGGAGTTGTTTAATCATCCACCATACAGCCCTGATCTTGCTCCCAGCAATTTTCACATTTTCTTGCACCTCAAGAAATTCCTGTCCTATGGTCAGCATTTTGGCAACAACGAAGAGCTGAAGACATCTGTCACACACTGGTTCCATTCACAGACGACAGAGTTCTGCGACAGAGGGATACAAAAGTTGATCCTATGATAAGACAACTGTCTAAATTCTGGTGGTGACTTTGTTGAAAATAGCTGAAACATTGCTGTACTTGTTGCCAATAAATATGTTCCTGAAAGTGAGAGTTCTATTTTTTTTAAATAGGGAAACTTACTTTCTGGATGCCTACATAAAATTAGGCACAAAGAAAAAAAGATACTTGTAACTTTGTTATAAAGTGCACATAGGACAACGATTTGAATCAAATGAAAACTGTTGCCGAACAGAGCCATTTAGCACCGTTAATGTTATTTGATGTAACGCATTGTCTGTATCATAAGCCTGAGTAATTCTTGATAAGTCAGTTTAATTTTTGTATAAAATGATATAAGCTAACTGCTATTTATGAGTTTTTCAAGTGCATTTTGAAAAAAATAACTAACACTTGGGACTTTTCTTCAACAGAATAGTATGTAGTTGAGTATTTTCAAGTTTATGGGATCCTGGCATCAAGAAAAATGTGACTTAAATGGATAAGCACTGGCTGTGTAATGTGGTGAAAAATTATGGCAAGCAATTTAAGCTTTTTATATGTTATGTCTATAACTTGCATATGTTGATTAACTAAATAAAGAGTTATCTGTTCCTTCAAACTTCTGCTGGAATGACTAGTTTGGTGAGATCTCTGCTAAATTTCACAGTTGATGGAGTATTGTAATTGAATATGATGTTTTTACTTTGATGTTTATGTCTGAAATCCCTTTCTTTCAAAATCTCACATAATCTAAATGTAGAAATTTGATATTTAAGTTGATAACAAATAAAATGACTCTTTATAATTTTATAGGAATCCTTCTTTTTTCTCCCCCGTTTATTTGGCTTTTCTACTTCGAATAGTAATTTTCGTGTGCTAAATTATTCGGAATTTTCCCATATCCAAATTTCGGCATTTTCCGTGCTTTCCAGATAGTCGAGCTTTTACTGTAATGATGTATTATCAAAAAGTAACACTGTGTATATGTATTTTCTTGCTAGCTGGTCACAAACAATAAAATGCCAGGTATGGTTAGTTTGGCATATAATTTGGCAAACTCAGATTTATAAATCCTTTAGATCTTTTTGTAACTGTTACTTTTGTAATAAATGACCCTTGATAACATAATTTACCAGCACAAAACACCAACAAATAATCTGTATTTAAAAAGATAAACAATTTTTATGTTTTCCAGAATTTTGGCGGGAGCGGGGGAATTGCATCTTTACATAAATTCGGCCAATTGATGACTTATCGTTTCTCAGTGTTATTTTGTAATGTGGTATTATTTATGACTGATTATTATTATGATGATATGATTATGGCCATTTGTATATGTTGTTTTAGATAGCAATGGCCATCATGAAAACCTAATTTTATTTGGTGTTTGTTTACACTATTGCACCATTTTCATAGGACTGCAACACTAGTGAAAATTTATTCTCACCATTGTCGTTCCCCCACCCCAATATGTGTCCGGCTAATTAGAAAAGAGCCTGTATATTTTAGAATATGCAGGTCTTATAGATTTAAGCAAAGCTTACCACTGGTCGTTCAAAGGGAGGTTGCACTCTTTTGGCAAGAACATCATCCCAATTTACATGGCTGAAGAACTGATGGCGTTTGATCTCTTCAGCATCTTCAGGACCACTCCCAAGTCTCTTCATATATGGATGCTTAAGCAGCTAAAAATATAATACAGAAATACAAAAGTTTAAAATAACTTTTATCATTATGATGAAAGGGAATATTTTTAACATTCTGTAATATTTTTCTTCTGGGTAAATACATCTGACACTATAATTAATCAACATATGTAAAATTAACAGCAAAATTTAGTCATTACAGCATGTATAATACACTTGTTTTATTATATAAGTTGAACCTTTTAAAATTTGTCATGCAAAACAAATTAATTAATAAATGTTGACTGAACAAGGACCAATTTTATTGAGGCAGTAATGATTAATAAAAAAGCAGATTATAAAATGAAAATATATTCTAAATATGATGTTCTTTGTGGCATTAGCTGCTTATTTTCAAAACAAACTTCATGAATATTCAATCATCAATAAAAATATTAACTCATGATTTCAGTTTCAGACTTCAATGAAATGGCTCCTAATAAATCTAAACTTATCACACTGTACAATATTCTTTTATTAATCCGCATCTGAATTACATTGTTTGATCAAATACAAATAACAGGGTTGCCACTGAAACAAAAGAATGAAATTTCTTGACTTTTCCAGGCTATCCACGTAATATGCATTGGCTGTGCTGAGGGCAAATTATTTATGGTACCACTTGAAAACGCAAACATTTGCCAGTTACTTAATATATATACTTTTAGACTTATATACATAATCCCTAAATAGGAGTTGTCTAATCCTCAGAGGATTGAGATTATAATCTGCCCATCGGGATTTAAAAATGTCTTTACTGCAGACATTTTGCAGCTAAAGGAAAAAAAATCTATTTAATGTTATTTTTAAATACATTCAAGTATTTTATATTTATTTACCAGCATCTTAAGTAAAAAAAATCTGATGTGTACACCACATGACTTCCTTGTACGGAATATTAAATTATACGCATTTTTTTCTTCAATTTCATTTAAATTGATTGGATTGAATTAAATCTACTTCGTCGACAGCGCATAAACCACAATAGAATAAATGCACTCTTTAAAATTCACTATATTTGTTTACTATAACGACACTCTGAATGCACAAAATTTATATCATTTGAAGAATTATCTTATTGTTGCCACGTGTTCTATTCAAATACTATAATAAAGCTAGAACAATGTATGAAAGAAATTAAGCAAACAAAACAGAAAAAAAAAAAAAAAAAACAGTTTTTCACAGACGATTTAGTATTTCTCATTCAATTAATTTAGTTCTCACTTCGCGACAAGGCAAAAATACATAAAAACTCAAAATATCTGTATTAAAAATTACGAAGTAAATCTTAAACACTTATTTCCTCGAAAAAATTCCAGAAAAGATTAAGCATGATTTAATTCGCAATAATAAATGAAGGCGTTATTTTTGTTGTTGCGAAGCTTAGTCTTTCTAGATTGGCAACAAATCTACAATTCTGCTGTTTCAAATGTAAACAAATATGTCCACCGTGTTGTTTAAAACTTAACCGCTCTTAAACAGCTTTAAATTGTTGATAATTGTACAAATATTGCTTAAAGAATTACGAAAGGCATAAAAACCTTAACCGGAAGATAAGAACAACATAATTCAATCATTTTTAAAGCAAAAAATGTACAATTTACAAACATATAAGAGTAAAGAAACTGAGATTACCGAGCCGGGTAATAGAGTGGATATATATAAAAATATATTTATATACGTTTGGTGCTGCTGATTGCAACCAAAATACGAGGTGCATATCTACATGTTATAGCAGTACTATATACAAAATTTCAACGTTCTGAGGCTACTCGTTTTTGAGTTATGCGAGATACGTTCGTACAGACGCCACGAAAAATTCTCTTCAGAATTAATTTTAAAGGAGTTTTATAATTTTTTTGAAGGAAAAGAGTATTTTATTCTGTCCTTACGTACAGATATGACGCAAAAACATCGTTAAATTGCATTCGATAGCGGTCAAAATGGATATTTTCGTTGAAATATGCTGCCTGAAACTTTTCGCGATTACAATACTTCCTTTTTACTTCGTACAAGGAAGTAAAAATGTGAACTAAATTTCGTGATGGCATGTCATATTACTGGTGAAATTAGTTTCACAAGTATGCAAGAGAAAATTGCCCGAAATTTAAAAGTATTACTAACTAATAATAAATAAATTTAGAGGGAAGAAGTCACATTAAATGGTACAAAGGGCATTATTATAAAGTTAATTACTTAAAGATTAAAAACTGAATTACAAAAATCGATGGTATTTCAGTGAATATATATATATGTGTGTAAAATATAAAAAATATGATGGCTTTGCTCTTTGGGAACCAGCAACCTTTAATTAACTTTCTGCAATTCAGCATCTTTTCTTTAGACCAGTACCTTCTAGAATTTGCTAGCCTATTACATAATCACTACTATAAATACTGAGTATGACAGACTGCTTCCTAATATTGCTGCTACAAGACTCTGCACTGCCCTATCCATCTTTCCTTCCTTTGTTAGAATTAGTGATGATGCATAAAGTTTAAATTCAATCATACTTAGTTAAAATCACTATAGATATGGAATTTAGAGAGTTTCATATAAAAGGAAAATGATTTGCTAATTGGATTAAATAAAAATGGATAATTAAAAGCTAAATCAATTTGAGTCGTCTTTGGATATCCATTACCACTCTTTAAAAAGCCATGTCTGAACTCTGATGCCAAGCTTCATGACTACCAAAATATCACACATGTATATAGTAAACGGTTAGCCTAGATGACCGATGATTTTTTTATTTTATTTTTCTGCAAAATGACAAATAAGGATTTTGTTTTATATACGAGAATTGGGGGGAAGTGAATTTACTTTTACATTCAACATGCACTGCACATGGGAATCTCTGGATTTTCGAAGTTACTGGAAATCAAAGATACTGGAAACTCGCTTTGTCTTTCTTAAAGACAATCTGATTGGCTCTATGAAAATTGGCTACACGCCAGCTGTCCGAATGACGCACATGTGATACATGGTATGCCAAGAAAGATATCGTGTCCTGATGTGTCCCCAAAAAAGTGATTGACACGAAAATCACTTTTTTGGGGATCGCAGTATGAAATTCCCCGACATTTCCAGATTTTGACTAAAATATTTAAAGTTCCTGATTTTTTCCCTGACATTTTTGGCCAATTTTCGAATTCCCTGACTTTTTCCAGGTAGTGTAGCAACCCTGAAATAACGACAGACATTGTCAAATGATTAGTACAACCAGGTACAGGTAGAAGTGAGACAGGTACAGGTCTCCCAATTTTGAGGGAGAATTCCCTAAGGGTAGTTCGAGGATCTTCATTCCCTGTTTCCCTAAAATCAGTCTTTCATGAGGGCTTTGAGCTTGTAGTGTATTTTGAGTGTTCCATTGCCACACATATAATATGCACTGACAAATATCCACGCCTTGCACAGGATTTGAACCCAGGCTCGTCGATATAGCAATCTGCATCACTAAGCAATTTGCAATTTGAGTGGCAATTAATACATTCAGAAAGACAAATTCAATCATCTCCAAGTGGACATAACTATCAAAAGCATGCCTCTGAGCAAACACTTAATCACTTTCCAAAGCTGGCTGATAATTTCATCTGAAAATACAGATACTTTGTTGACCTCAACATTTGCTAATTCTTTTGATTTAGGAATTTTGATTTCAGGAAGGCCCACAGAGCAAAAGGAAGGAAGCTGGCAATAGCAGAATAAAGAAAAAGTCCAAACTCAATATATTAACGTAAATCCTCGACCATAATATTAGTGTAAATTCCAGACTGCAAAAGTTGAACTAGTCTAACCATGAACATGATTTTAACAATTTACATTCAAGTTACTTTAAAACAATTTTTGAAATTAAACTTACTAACTATGGATTCACTCTTTTTAGATAATTCTACTAAAATTAATCTTAGGAGATAATATAATCAATATTTCTTTAGTAAATAAATTATTATTAACTTACTTTGCAGCTATTGCGCAAGTATCTAGTAGAATTATCTAAAAAGAGTGAATCCATAGTAGTATTTAATTTCGAAAATTGTTTTAAAGTAACTTGAATGTAAATTGTTAAAATCATGCACTAGTTCAACTTTTGCTGTCTGGAATTTAAATATTATGGTCGATCAATATATTGAGTTTGGACATTCTGCTATTGCATTCCTTCCTTTTGCTCTGTGGGCCTTCCTGATCAAAATTCCTATATTAGCAAATGTTGATCAACAAAGTGAAGAAATGACAAAGTATCAAATGATCGCATGTGATACATCTCCTAATATTTTGATGACAAAAGTCATGGGATACCTCCTAATATTTTGTGGGTCCTCCTTTTGCCCAGCGAAGTGCAGCAACTTGATGTGGCATGGACTCAACAAGTCCTTGGAAGTCCCCTGCAGGAATATTGAGCCATGCTGCCTATATAGATGCCCATAATTGTGAAAGTGTTGACGGTGCAGGGTTTTGGGCACGAACTGACCTCTCGATAATGTCCCATAAATGTTCGATGGGATTCATGTCGGGCGATCTAGGTGGCCAGATCATTCGCTGGAATTGACCAGAATGTTCTTCTAACCAATCGCGAACAATTGTAGCCCGGTGACATGGCGAACTGTCATCCATAAAAATCCCATCGTTGTTTGAGTACGTGAAGTCCATGAATGGCTGTAAGTGATCTCCAAGTAGCTGAAGGTATCCATTTCCAGTCAATGATTGGTTCAGTTGCACCAGAGGACCGAGTCCATGCCATGTAAAAACAGCCCAGACCATTATGCAACTACCACCAGCTTGAACAGTGCCTTGTTGACAACTTGGGTCCATGGCTTCGTGGAGTCTGCGCCACACTTGAACCCTACCATCAGCTCTTACCAACTGAAATCATGACTCATCTGACCAAGCCACGGTTTTCCATTCGTTTAGGGACCAACCGATATGCTCACAAGCCCACGAGAGTCGCTACAGGCGATGTCGTGCTGTCAGTAGTAAAGGCACTCGAGTCGAGTAAGACTCGAGTAAAGGCACTTGGGCATAGCCCAAGGAAGACAAATTTCGCCGCAGTATCCTATCGGACACGTCCCTCGTACGTCCCACATTGATTTCTGCGGTTATTTGACGCAGTGCTGCTTGTCTGTTAACATTAACAACTCTACGCAGATGTTGCTGGTCTCGGTCGTTAAGTGCAGGTGGTCGGACACTGTGCTGTCCATGGTGGGATGTTATGCCTGAAATTAGATACTCTCGGCACACTCTTGACACTGTGGATCTCGGAATGTTGAATTCTCTAACGATATCCGAAATGGAATGACCCATGCATCTAGCTCCAACTACCATTCCGCGTTCAAAGTCTGTTAATTCTCGTCATGCGCCCATAATCACGTCAAAGCCTCTTCACATGAATAACTTGAACACAAATGAAAGCCCTGCCAAAGCACTTCACATTTATACATTTTCTATGCGATACTACTGCCATCTGTATATTTGCATATTGCTATCCCATGACTTTTGTCACTTCAGTGTATATATATATATATATATAACAAAAAATGATTGAACCATACTGAAACTAAACCAAAACTTGAGCATAAAAGCTAACCTGAATCATTTAGTTAATTCACTAAATGTAAAAGGAATCATGAAAGACATTTGCTTATAACAAATGCTACAACTAAATATATTCATTCATCCATTCAGTGAACACTGAGGTACATCATTAATATAGCATATTGCTATATTAATGATGTACTCTTTTATGCATATAGCATATTGCTTTTATTGCTATATTAATGGAAGCTCTTTTATAGTAACCACCTTCAAAAGTAACCATTATTTTTTTTTTTTAAACAGAGACAAACATTAGCACTTGAACATCACCTTACTAAGATAATCACCTTAAAAAAAAAGACCAAAATCATTTGAAACAATAGGTGCTTGTTTTTGAGATGGTTGACTGCGATTTTTTCCCCCTGTTATAGTGATAGTGAGTAGCAAAAGTGGCATACAGTTTGAAATGATTTAAAATTATACTATACATATAACTGAATATACAGTTGGAAAGATACTTAAAGAATAAAACCAGAACTTGTTACAACATGAGCCACATTTAAAAGGCTGAAGAGTTGCATGTGGCTCATTCGTCAGTCAGATTCAACTTCTTAAAATTTTGCTCAACAAAGAACTCTACGAGGTTTAAATTTTAGATGAACAGGGGGATAATACACAAATAAATAATAATAAAGAGAACTATTGTTAGAATTGAATCTATTTGTTTTTACCATCAACACAGTTCCATAAACATGATGATAAAAATAAGATATTTTATTCAAAATGTTCTAGTAGTAGTATATTCTAATCAGCCAAAACATTATTATCTCCCTGCTAAGACAGTTTTGCTTCATTTTTGACATTTAAAACAGCTGCAACCCATTGTGCCATGGATTTCTTAGCAAGTTTTTGGAAGGAAGTAACCAAGGACAGTTCAACAATCTGTATAAGAGCTGCAAATGCAAATCTGATTTTTCCCACAAATCTCGTATATTATGAGATGATGGTTGGAGAGCTTTAAGCTAGCAGGATGTGCTCAACAAGATTAATAGTTGGCAAGTTAGGAGGTCAGGACATCAACTGAAATTCATCAGCATGTTCCTTAAATTACTCCAGTTCCAGCCCTGTGACAAAAAAAAAAAAAAAAAAAAAAAAAAAAAAAAAATTGGTATAAAAAGTTTATTTCTAGGGGAAAAGAACAGCTGCCATGAGAGGCATATCTCTCCATGTAGTATACAGTTATCATGGCATGTTTTACACATCTATCAAGCCTAGGAATACCCTTCAAAATATCTCCTAAAGTATAATATCCCTATCACCAACTTGTTTATGCCCTGTGATACACATGTTGATCAACTATTCACCTGGAAGATTGCATACCCTGACACAACCATTTAAGTGGTGTAAAAATATCATGATTCATCTGAGAGCCAACTCTTTTCCACTGTCAAATGGTCCAATCATGATGTTCACAGGCTGGTTGTTATCATAAATGTTGGTAATATTGGGTTAACAAAGACACAGGAGAACAGTATTAACTGTGCAAGTCCATATCCAACAGAGTTCAATGAACTGTGTGCTCAGATATACTTGTACTTGGATCTGCATTATATTCAGTCCAGTAATAATTTATTTCACATCATAAAATAGCAGTCTCTGGCATCTGTATTTACTGATCTGGCATGAACATCCATAGCATCAAAATTTACGAATGTTTCATCAGACTCCTTCCACTTTTCATCGACATTAATTGCAGCAAGCAAACATCAAAGAGCAGTGCTATTTTAGAGATAACCTTTTCTAGCTTTTGGGTGATCACAATTGGGCTATTTATCAAAGTCACTTAAATCAGCATCTTTTTCATTGCATGTAGTTAACAGAATAATGCATCAATATCTCCAGCATCCATTAAATAACATTCCCACTTTTTCACATGTCAACTACATTACTCGGGCAAATGTGTGCTCACAGTGCACTCAGTTTTAATGTTAAGGCAGTGATAATGTTTCAGCTGGTCAGTGTATGTATCTTACTAATGAAAGTGATAACAGCTTTCCTCCAAATCTCTTCTTAAAACGAGAAAACTTACAGTTAAAGAAAGAAACCTTTCATTATAATAAGTAAATTATAAAAATTTCAAAAACTTTTTACCTTTCTCATCAAATCTTTAGCAACTTCTGTAACATAACGTGGAAACCTCAATTTTTTATTTAAAATCTGCAAAAATTTAAAAGTATTTCATTAAAAAATATTGAGGAAACATATGAACGCATTTACACAATGAAGAACTGAAACATAAATATCATACACATATTTGTTATCATTCTTCTAGTTCATGTGTAATTAAAACCAAGTTTAAAAACCGCTATTTTATTTAATTTAGCCATATTTATCTTAGATTTAATAACATTTTTAAAAACCCTTTTGAAAAATAAGCATTAAAAGTTTTGTTGTTTTAATAGTACATACATGTTCAAAAACAATTTTTTTGTTATTGTTGTTTTTTGTAAAGCATTTATATAACAAAAGAAATAATTAATCTGACAGGAATTTTTGAAATTATTTCCAAAGAAAGATTAAAATGCTAATTAGATGCAAAGAAACTGACTTTGCATTAGATAAAGAAATGGACATTCTATATGAAATAAAGTACTACATTTTTGTGATTTCTACTGACCTTTCTAAAGTAATAATATAGGCAATATTACATAAAACATATTTATAAACCTAAATTATATTTTTCACTACTCCTAACAATGCTTTTCTTCTCCCTCAGAAATTTAAACATAGAGATTCCTGGAACATGGCAAATGTTTTACAGAACAAATATTTTAAAATTAAAATCTTACCTTTTCAACTTTTGCCTTCTGATTCTTAGCTGTGTAGGGTGGCTAGAAAAAAATCAGCACAATTATTGCTAATGTAACATTTCTGTGCTTTTCTGTTAATGGGAAGCCAGTTGTCAAATATGTGTCAATGTTCCAAATGTTGGTAGCCTATTTACATCACATTAGCAATAAAGTCATTGAAAACAAGAGGAAAGAATGAACATCAATCCAGTAATTTTTCCATGCTAGATTTTCAGCTGCTTTTGTATTAAAATGCAGATAGCCGTTCTTCACCAAATTTCTGCAATTCTCTGATATTTTTTTAAGCAACAGTTTTATTCACCTTGTGTATACAGTGATCTGTTTTCACTCAAAAGAAAAGTCAAAGAATTATGCACAGCCATGGTACAGCACCCATTAAACTATATTCATTACACACAATGCAAAGTCCAAAATCTGGATGCACAATTTCCGGAAGGGTCTAATATCCAAACCTCCAGACATTAAGCAATTTTTGTTTGTTTGTTTGTTTGTTGTTGGGAAAAGTGAGAATTAAGTTCTGAGAGATAATCTCATTTTAGCATATGCTTAATGCTTGATGCATGCATAACAGACTTTTTTTTTTTTTTTTCATAAAAAAGCATGTGGAGAGTTCTAATCCTAAATTTCCCTTTAGCACTAAACAAAACTCCTCCTTGTTGAAAAAATAATATCATTTATTAACGCAAATCTGTAAGATCAATAATTTGGCTCTGTAGCAGCCCTTTTGCTTGGCATGCATCTCAAATCAAGACATTCTACCAAAACTCATCACTGATTTTACACATACTGAATAACTTATAAGCCTGGCACAAACCTGGAGAATTTTTTAAAATTATTTTTTGCATTCATCATCATGACTATAAACTCATGGCAGCCTGAGAAATGATTCATGCAACAAAGTCTAAAATAATTTTTTCCCCTCAAATACTAATAATTGAATACCAAACAGAATGGTAGTCATTTATGTTGACATGCTTGGCAATAATTATACATTTCAGACAATTGTGCTATGAAGCATTGAATACACTGACAAGAAGAAATTCAACAGAAATTTTCTCCATATGCAAAAAATAGATCTTTTAAAAGATATTTATATAAAACCAAAAGATTACAGTTAGTGTTATTTGAATTAATGATAACTGATTTTTTTGTTCCAATAAGCTTTAAATATATCTGGAAATTTATTTATTCAGGACTTGGCCTTAAAAGTATGTGCAGAATATAAATATAAGTATAATAAATAACTAAACTAATATAATTCTGGTTTAACTTGCTCAGCGTGTGATATACACAATACAAAATTTAGCCGAGCAACATGTCTTTAGTCCCCAATCTCGTGATACATTCCCAATAGTGTACAGCGAGTGCTAGCTGAGCCTTATGATGGTAACTGTGAATTTGACGATTTTAAGACATCGCAAACAAAAAGCAAAATTTTCAATTTAATGTGAAGAAATGTGTAAAATTTGCAACAAATGAAAATGATACACAAAAAAAATATTCTATTGCGATAACAATGCTCTAATAATTGATCAACTAAAGAACAGCGAAATTCATAATAGGGTTCTAAATTTAGGAAACATTGCTACCAATAATGAAGAATGTGACAGAGGTTTCTGAAACATTTAAACTAACAATTTAGTGGGAATTATCGATTACCTTGATCAATAGAGCGTTGTAATTGAACAAGAATTTATGTCTATTTATAAAATTAAAGAGAAAGTATCAGAAAAAAATGAAGATGCTTAAACAACTTACATTGAAAAAAATGTTTAACAAAGCAAATCAATAAATATAGAGCCCTTTTTTTTGGGGGGCAAATTTTGATTTTTTTAAGCTCTTAAATATTTTATCATTTTGTACTTTTAATTTTAAAATATCTACATATCATCTTACTAGATTTAAATTGATGATCTAAAATCTGGAACTGCCAGAGTCGCAATGAGTCCAGATCTCAGATTTTGTATTGAATAAAATAACTATACATTTCATAAAGTTTTTTGTACTTTTAGGGTTGCTATTATTAGTTACATTACTTATATTTCACATCAAGATTTATGTTTGATGCTAAGTGGTGTCCCATTAACAGAAAAGAATCAACATGTTTTCAAATGTGGATGCTATTTAAAAAAAAAAAAAAAAAATTTAAATACAAGGAATGAAATAAGCAGCATAAAAATTCAATAAACATTATATAACAAAAATGATCTTAAAATTGTACAAGGTGTAACCTCTGCATTCATTATCCAAAAAATTCAATGAAAATTTAAGGAAGTGAAATGTTTTTTATTGGACCTAAACCAAAAATTTTTCCCAGCTGAAGTTTGGAACTCTTGTAACACCAGTTTACCACAGCTCATCGCATTGTTTTGGATGGGAAAAAGGTTTTATGCAAATAAGACATTAACATATGTAACTGGCAAACAAAGAAAACCTAACATAAAAGATTACAATATTTTTAACCATCTAAATATGTGGGTAAATTGATACATAAATAATCTTCATTCACTGCAATTTCAGAGGTGGTTTTTATTTGACATATTTTCCGAGGATGCGATATTATGCCTTAATTCCTTTTGTTCTATAGAATACTTCAGATTGGCTGTGAATCCATGAATGCATTTTGCACTTTGACATCCAATGCAAAATGCTTCTCATAGTGGGCATCGGCACTGAACAAAATATGTAACAATCCCACATCAAAGAAAGTAAAGTTGCGCTCACACCAACGTGGTCACGCATTCATGCGTAAAACGTTAACCAATCAGGAGTGAGTTCAGAGGCGTCATTTGCCGGATGGGCAGAGACTCCGTGAGCTGACTTAACTTCAACTCGCTTGATGCATCGGTTTCAGGCATCTCGTTTAAAAGGTCCAGTTTATACCATGGTTTTTTTTAAATGAATGCACTATCAAAAATTCTTCTTGATAAAAAAAAAAGGTCAAATGGACTAATCTTAATAAAAATTTCAGATAATAATAAATGCATATGCTAATAGAACGAATTACTTAAAGGAAAATTCTCAAATTTATTAGCAGTAATAACTTAATAATCAACCATAAATGATATATGGTTGATAATTTTTACAGAATAATCTAAAGCAATAGATTGTTGCGAGAAAATAGTCATGGATTTCAGAATCCAAGATTTTGAATTTTTCTAAAAATATATCTACATGAATTTTAAAGTTGCTTTTATTGCCTAGTGAATAAAACATTGGCTTCTTGAGTTAAAGATTTTGGATTCAAGAATCACCACGAGTGGTGTTGTAATGGAGCTGGTATTTTTAAAAAGTATTTACAGAAAATATTATTGCTAGTTTTAGAGTAGCCCAGATGCTTCTTCAGTTTCCTGAAGGTGAAGTGCGAAAAGCAAGCTTACCCGCAAGATACCTAAGCATGGAGATATCATGTTTAAGTAGAAAATTCAGCTTTTACTAGGGACTTGCATTGCGGGTTTGGGCCTTGCTTTTTCCTACCTTTGATGATGGTATGGCTACACAATTTTTTTTTATCCACCACAACATTTTTTTTCGGAGGGGGGGACATAAGAAGCTTGCGTTTATTTTTTATTTCATTTCCTTCATCATTCATATAAATCTAATTTTTGCTCGGCATTGTGTGCATTATCCTTCTTTTGACAGTGAGCCTTTGGTATAATTCATAAGAAGATCTGACTGCTATGATCTGATTCTATTTCGGCTGACACGAGACTAGCAAAAGCGATACTGGTATTAGTATAAAGTTGCTGTTTCATCTAAATTTAGTGAGTTTTGAATTTTAAACCAGTGGTGACAAATAAACCATTTATTTAAAAAATTAAGAAAACTGTTATTTATACAGAAAAGAAGCTTGCTAATACATAGCTGATTTTAATACTTCTACACATTATAATGGCTTTATATTTATTTTTCTTATGACCACTTTTTGAAAGGTCTAATCTTGATGATAACTTTTCATTAATTTAAAGAACTTTTGCATGAGTATTAGCAAATTTACTAATTGTGGAATTAAATTTTTAATGCAGAAAAAGAAATATTATATAAACTATAATTATGTCAATGAGTTTTAGATAAAAGTGACCTTATGAAACAAACCTTTAGACAGTGGTTGTTCATTAATATATGAATGACTAATTGAAGTAATTACTGTTACATTTGAGGTAAAAAATATGTACATAAGGGAGAAACTAAAATAATTTTTAAAAAAAATTGCTGTTGTTTATTAACTTAAAAATAACTACTTTTTTTAAAGTGTGATATTTAATTTAGTAATGCTGTAAATCCTACATATATTTAAACAAAATATACTTTTTTATTGCATTATTTAAACCAATTGAGGGAAGTTTAAGGAAACATTTCAGGGAAGTTCATACATCATGCAAAAACATTTATGGTATTCTACCCATGAAAAATTTACTCTCCAAAATAGAATCATGCAATTAGATTTTTTAAACTATCATTCAACAAAATTAATAAATTAATTAAATTAGATATATACAGCGTTTGATATATACAACGATCCTTTTCTGGGATATCCTATTCCTATCTTCCAAATGATTCTTTTCTGTGATATTTTGACAAAAATTAGTGTTCTGCTTTTGGATAAATAGTTCAGTGAGGGCTAGAAATTCATCAAATCAGTGAGGTGTCATGCGAAAGTAACTAACAGAAATTTTGTTTCGTTCAAGCGCATTTCTTCAATTAAATTATTTGCATCTCCTTGCTGCAGTCGTCTCTTACATATTAATATAAACACTGCATTCTGCTTCTCTTACACAATGTAAGGTAAGTAATAAGTTAAGTAAAATAAATTTTAATTGAGCTGAAATTAAATCCATTTTAATTTTAAAATGTAATCGTAAAAAGTCAAAATACCACACAAAAATTCCCCCCTTTTCCCCCAAGTTTTCAATATGAAGCGCTATCTAGTACAAGCATATGGCAACTTTTAAAGCGAAAGTTGCTGCGCTGGTGTGAACTGACATACGCAGAAAGCGTTTCTTCCCGTATTGCCACTTTTCGCCCCAACGGACTAGTTGAATGCAGCTTAAAACGGATAGGCTAAATTAAAGGACTTTAATTAAGGTATAAGCTTTGCATTTTCCTGCAAGAAACAATGCCTTGAGATAGCATTTTATATCAATTCTTCTCAATGTTTGACTACTTGCAGCAAACAGTATTCGTTGTGGCATATCAACCAAAATGGAAGAAAATATAAGTCCCCTAAAATCAAAGAAGAATTGATACTCAGCCCCCATGCGTTCTTTCTCAAGACCTACTGATTTCTGTCACTCAAACGTGAATCATTCTGTAACTGTGATCAATATTTATCCTGTGCATAGACTTTACCAAAATTTTGCAAAATTTGCAATCAAAAATACCATTAATGAATTCACAGTTTTTCATACAGTCTAATGTTATTTATTATTACAGGGTGATAATGAATAATTCCTCAGGTTTTAAAACATTGTATTTCAAGAAATTTGCGCATAGAGTAGTGAATAATACACAAAAATAAACATTAAATAGACAAATTTACATCTAAATTTTACAATCTGCATACTACCTCAATGAAGAACTCCCACATTGCTGGACTGGGCAATGTGCAGAAGATTATTTAATGCTGTTGCCCATGGTCTCTATAAACCCCCACTCTGTGTGATTTCTTCCTTTGGGAGGTATGTTAAAGATCTGTTTATATACCCCCCGCTGGAAACTTCATTGATCACTGTATGACCAATACATTTATGGATATTAGTAGTTTAGGCATGGACCAAACTTAAATGCCACATAGATCTGTGTCATGTGACCAGAGAAGGTTACACTTGAAAATTTGTGAAGATATGAAAAAAAAAATTGTGGATCCTTAATGCTTATTTGCATTTATCATTCATTGTTTCATGGTAAGATATTTTTAAAAAACAGATTTTTAAAACCCAGTGAATCACTTAAAATCACTCTGTATTATCTTAATAGTTTTGCTAAGGAATTTATCAGTTATATGTAAATTACATAATGAAGGAATGTCAATCAGTTACAATAAAAAAAGCACAACTGCTAAAATAAAAACTTGTACACAACAGGATAATCCAAAAATCAATAACCTTTTAAAAAATTTTATTTCAGTGAATTTGCATTATATAGTAAAAGGAACTGCGCTTTCTATCATGACAGCATTAATACCCACTAAATAATCTGAGATATAAATTTCCTAATAACTTAATGGCCCTTTCTAGATTATCCTATAATTTTATAAATATAATTGGATGAAAATTTTTCATATAAATGATGTTTTATTGCATCAGAAATTAATATTACACTAAAACCAATATATCTCAGACTCAAACTTACTGAACCAGTCAACATATTATACATGACTGCACCAAAACTCCACCAATCAGCTGCTAATCCATGGCCACTTCGAGTTAATATTTCAGGAGCCCTGGGATGAAGAAAATACAAGTCAGTCAAAAGGAAAATGTAAATGTGGCTTTTTTTTTTACAATTAACAAAAAACAGCACCACAGCTGAAGTAAAGAATAATGTACTTGCAGTAAGCATAAACAGAACTTTGCTGCTCCAAAACTTTTTAATAAGTTATTTTGATTTTTAATAAAAATGAGGCAAAACCATTTCCAGATTTAATTAAATATTAAAGCTTTATTCTGTTAAAATTATGAGAATGAATTTTAATTTAATTGAAGGGCAGTCTATTCAGGTAAAGCAAAATGATAGTTTTTCATTATGAGTCTGATAATTTACTTATCATATTGATGAACTTTAAATTTATTAAAACATTTAAAAACCTTCTTCTGAACTAATTTATCATTTATTTAACAAAGCAACTCCCAATTTCAAAACTTTTTTTGAAACACTGAAAAGGCATTCAATAAAATAGGAATTTAAAAAAATATATCCAGAACCAAGTACTTACATAAAATCAACCGTTCCACAAAAAGTCTTAGTTACTGAACCAGCATCCATAAATTCTTTGGCTAAGTTAAAGTCAGTCAATTTTACATGACCTTTGAGATATAAAATAAATTATGAAGCAATTTTTTTTCACATTATCAGTTCAGAAAATTCAAGTAAAATTAATGTAGTAAAAAAATAATACTAATAATTAATTAATTAAAAGCAAAATTAATGCAAATCAAAAATGACTTATTTAACAAACAAAAATAATTCCATGCATTATAAGGTATCTGATGTTACTTTTAAAATTTGTTAACAGGAATGAAAAGATATTTACCCTTAGCATCTAACAGCACATTTTCTGGTTTTAAATCACGATAGATAATACCTTCCTTATGTAAATATCCCAGAGCTAGTAATATTTCACTCAAATAAAAACTGCAAATATATATTTTAAGTTTCATTACACAAAAAGATGATTTATTGTTATTCACATGTCAAATGCATTTAAGTAATTAACAGGCTATAACATTTCTAGTATAATTTATAAGATATATAGAAGAAATCTATGTTAATTTCAAAACAAAAAAAAAAAAAAACGTATAATTTTTCATTGCATTATTTCACACACACATAAAAAACAGTTAAAAAGCAAAAGAAATTAAAAAGTAAATAATCATTCCTAGCTAGAAATTTAAGAATTTTTTAATTCATGACAATACTATCCTTCCCACATACATATAATATTTTATGGAGTTCCCATATTTCCTTTAATTTTGCAATAAAAAGTGCACTTAGAATCAGAATAGCTATTTTACAGAAATCATATCCCATTCTTTCTGTGTTATTTCTTTGAAGGGGGGAAAAAGTATACAGGCAGTGATCATTTCAAGATCACTTGATTTCTCTTTCAGCAATGTACCTTTAGCAATTCCAGATTTAGACTTGATAAGGCCCTAACCTAGTTGAGATATGAGGCTCTTTATGAATTCAGATATTATATGTCAGTGTAAAAAATGATTTTCGAATACCTATAAATTTTTTTGAGGGGGGCAAGAAAGCAGGGGTTCTAAGATATAGCTTGTGTAGCTTATACACAAATCCTGCACACCATTTAGTGTAATTTAAATATAATTTTTAATCTTCATCTAACATATTTCGTGCCATTATCACATATGAGGTTTCTTGGCATCATTCAGAACTCATACATAAATTTAAAATATGAATTTCTATATCTGAAAAAAATTTACTCAATATTTGGTACTTTGCTGTTATGCACCAGGCAAACATTTTGACGTTTTTTTAAAATTGTAAATACAACACAAAGTCCGAGATCCGGGCAACCCACTATCTGAAATGATCCAAAATCCAGAGCTCAAAGTCACATTTTTTTCCCCTTATCCTTTACCCATGCGCATTTGATTTTTTCTCTTATAATAAAACATGGAGAGTTCTGATTCTTAATTTCACTTAGGCACTAAAAAACTTCCCCATTATTGAATGGGGCAATAAATTCCCCATTATTAGCGGAACAACTTTAAGCATAAATTTGTGAGATCAATAATTTGGCTATGTAGCTGTGTATTTACTTGATATACATCTCAAACCAAAAAGCATTCTACATAGATTTTTGTTTTTATACCTATTAGTATTTTAGAATCATTATTTATTATACTTTACTTTCATCAACGCATGTTTATCAATACATGATAATTTGAATAATGACTCATGCAGTGATGTCTAAACTTTATTTATATATATATATTAATAATTGAATAATAAGAGTATAGCAACCATTTATGCTGACATTACCCTTGACGAAGATTACAATTAAATGTGCTGAGAAATGTTGATGAAAAATTCAAGAAAAATTTATTTTCATATGCTAAAAATAGATTTTGTTAATGAAACTCATAGGCCAAAACATTACATTTAGTGCTATTTGAATTAAGAATAACTGATATGTTATTCACACAAACCCAGAGCCAGCATCAGAGCTCATATGGCCACACTGGGTGGCAGAATTTAGGCAAGACAAAATTTTGGGGATTTGGAGAAGCACAGAGTGGCAAAATTAAGGGATGAAAATTTTTCTATAATTTAGGCAAAGGACTGGGATCCAAAGTTTAGGGGTGGTAAAAATTTAGAACTTAGGGAGGCAATTTGTAGCAGAATTTAGGACCCGCAGAGACTGCATCCGCTGGTATCTAGTGGCGGCCCTACATAAGCCTTAAGTATATGTGGGAGTTTATTTATTCAGGACTCGGATTAGCCTTAAGCATGTGCAAGAAACAGCCGTAGGTATAATAAATAACTAAACTAATACTCTTCAGGCTTAATTCAGTACTCTATAGATGCAAGATAAAGTTTAGCATAACAACTTGTCTTTTATTGCCAATCTTATACATGGCCAATAACGTACAGCGAATGCTATTAAGCTAGGCTAAAATTATCTTTACTGATTCTAAAGAATTTCAGTTAATGTAGCAGACTGCACTACTACTTAATTTTCTAATTTGATCCAGTTTATTATTTTTTGAAGACTGTTATTGTTACAGCAATTTTATGAAAATTAAAGCTCGAACTTTTGATTATGTCAAAAAGAGTTTCTAATTCTGGAGCTTCAAAAGGTTCTACAAAGCAAACGCATGTTTCGATGTCCATTAAACAAAAAGTGAAATTGCTGCAAAATGTGGATAAAGGCATATCCGTCTCAAAATTATGCGAGGAGTATGGCACTGGAAAATCAACTGTATAAGACCTAAGAAGAAAGAACTTTTTGAATTTTTTGTGGATTCCGACACCTCACTCGCAATGAATAACAGAAAAATTGTTCATTATGCTAAAAGTTACGATCATGACAACATGACAATTGAATGGGTCAGACAGCGTCACAGCAAAGGCCTGCCATTGACGGATCCAATGCTAATGGCTCAAGCCAAATTCTCCATGAAGAAATGAACTTAAAACTGAGTGCACTTATTCAACAGGTTGGTTAACCAAATTTAAAAATCAACGTGGTATAAGACAATTAAAAATTTCAGGTGAAAAAGCTTCAGCTGATACTGAAGCTGCTGAGCTACTTGCAGATGAATTCACTGAACTCCTTACTAGTGAAAAATTATCTCCAGAATACTGCAGGAAAGCACAAGTGCAAACTTTTCGTAATCAGAAAAGAATACGTGACCTCGAGCATTTGAAGGAGCAACGACTTTCCCCTTTATAAATCGTGCAAATAAAACAGCATGCATGACACAAGCATTAATGAATGATTGGCTTGAAAATGATTTTATACCCGAAGTTCGGAAACATTTGAATTTGATTGATTTACTTGATGACGCAAAAATTTTCCTGATTGTAGACAACTGTTCGGCTCGCACTTCACTAAAAGTTTTAGTGAAAGATAATGTATCTGTATTATTCTTTCCTTCAAACTGTAGGTCTGTCATTCAGTCTATGGATATCTGAATAGTGCTTGCATTGAAATGCAAATATAAAGTAGCATTTTGTAAATCCATGTTAAATTTCTTGAACAATGGCAAGACTATTCAAGAATTTTTGAAACATTTTAGCATAAAATCTGCTATGTGGAGCATCGCAAGATTGTGGAAGGATGTGTCTCCAGATACTTTTAAAAAATGCGTGGCATGATTTATGGCCAGCTACCATATATCATGGTGAAGATGATGAATATGATAGTCGTGAATTTGAAGGTTTTTGGATATCGCAAACCAAAGAGGAAGTTTTCCAATTAACGGATTTTGTAGAGAAATGTGGAGAAGTGATAATAGATGAAGATGATATAACAGGAGTTTGATGCCAATAGAAGTTTGATGACAAAGCCCCAATCATCAATTAATTAATGGACTGCATGTAATTAAATCTGTAGTATGGTTCTAGATCCAGAAAATACCTCTATCGATAGTGAAGAAAGTGACAGAGAGGTTATTGAAAATGAAAAAATATCGATTGACCAGTTAGTTGGAATTCTGGCACAGTAATTACAGGACTTGAACAGTGGAACTTTGTAACTCAGCAAGAAATTATGTCTGTTTACAGAATTAAAGAAAAAGAATTAGCATAAAAAACGAAGCAATTTAAACAACTTATATTGAAAGAAATGTTTAATAAAGTAAACAAATAAATATTAAGCCTTTTTTTTTTTTTTTTTTTTTTTTTGCTAAATTTGGATACACTCTAGATCAGCGGTTCTCAATATTTTAAGTAATGCATACCATCTAAACAAAAACTGAAAACCTTTAGTACCACTACTACAAAATACTACTACTGCCACCACTCTTGTATAAAGTTCAGATCGCATAAATTTAGAAGTGTTAGAAAACAACTCAATCAGGATGTTGGGGTTTTAATTTTTGAATTTAATAGTTAAAAATACTTTGCTTCTTTGTGTAGCACCTATTTTTCTCTTGCATACCACCAGCAGTTGAGAACACCTGCTCAGGATCATAAACACTCTTTATTTCATAAATCATGATTTCGTATTTTTAATTGAATAATTTCTGCATGCCAGGTTAGTTACTAGTTAATTACTAGATTTAAATTGATAATCTAATATCCGAAAAAATCCCAAATCCTGAATCACCGAAGTCCCGAGTCCGGATATTGGACTTTGTACTGTACACAATTAAATGTGTTAAATTAAGCATTTATATAAATGGTTTGGTCCTCGGATGGTGCTATCACTGGGTCTCAATAGCGCGTTCGGCTTCCTCTGTCACAGGTGCCAAAAAGCGTGGCCGGTGCATAATGGAAAAGTACCAAACATTTAACATATAATATAAACATGTTATGATTATATGAAAAATTAAACATTTTTATCCTGTATAATTGTTGCATATATTTACTGTAACACAAAAATTTTAAAAATACATTAAGAGTTTTTTTTTATTATTATTATCATATATTTTATTTCTGAAAATTAAAAATTTCTAAAAAAAAATTAGCACATATATAACCAAATTTGGCTTTACATAGCTTTCATTAAGCAGCAAAAAATATAGGCATACAGTAAGGAATTAATCAGTCTTTCAGATATATAACATATCCAAATGCCACTTTCATTGAACTCCTGATTATCCAAGCCTAAGTCCCTGTCATGTATTCATATTTCTGAATTCAAAAAATATAATTCACAGAATATACATAATGTAATTGGTGATTTATTAAAAACCTCTATTCAGATACATTCAAAGCAACCCAATAAATGGTAATTCCAATTTCAAGCAGATGAACTATAAATAAAATAGAAATATTTAAAATTTAAGATCTTCATTTTCCTTCTAAAATAGCATTTACTAGCATAACATTTAAGCTTACCAAGCATGATTCTCAAGAAGAATGTTTTCCTTTTCAAGAAGAGAGAACAGTTCTCCACCATTTAAAAATTCTAAGATCAAATATAATTTCTGCTGTGTTTGAAAAGCATAATGAAGTTCCACTATAAATGGATGCTGTAATGAGAAGGGGGGAAGTCCATGAATTACATATGCAAACATACAAACTGAATATTTTAACCAGTTGTAACATGCAACGCAATCATTATTTTTATATACATCATTATTTTATATTATTTTTATACAGTACAAAGTCTCTAATGCGGACGTCCATTATCCTGAATGATCTATAATCCGGACCTCAAAGCCACAAACTTATGCATGCGCGTTTGATGCACACTTCCGCTACGCATGCATGTAAAGCCAGTAAAGCGTTCACCCATGCGCGCTTCCGATAGCGAAGAAAGTAACAGAGAATGTTATTGAAAACGGAAAAATTTCGATTGACAAGTTAGTCGGCATTCACGACAGAGCAATTAAGGCCCATCCACACGAGTACGCTCGCGGCGTAGTTGATGCAACTTTTTTGACGCTGGTGTAAATTCACGTGACGGAGAAGACGTAAAACTGAGTTCGCTCCTGTTCAGCTTTTACGTCCGTAACGTGAACAAACAGCCAATAGCCGACTGAGTTCTTATCACGTGTCATAATCAGAAAACCTTCTTGTTTACCCATTTCAATATGGCATCCTGAATGCTCAGTAGCCACCGCGTCTTGCCGGATTATGCCTATAATTGTTGTGACTTTTTATGCCACTGCTTATCCTTGACAGCGTATCTGCGGCGCGTTTTTTATTTGATTTGGTTGTTAATCTATCTAGTTACCCCCAAGCTCACTTAGTTAGGAGTGAGTCAGGGGCCTGATAGATTTCCACCTGCTCATCCGTCTGCCGGAACGCCGTCGTGCGGGTCCGGTTCCGGGGCGCAGGCTCTTTTTCTTGCTGGGGCGCAGGATTTTATGGATTCAAGGCGTCGAAATGGATGCGAACCAGACAATTGAAAAACTTATAGAGTTTTACAACATACAAATCAGAGAATTAGAAAAATCTAAGCAACTCAATGGATCTTTTACCGATTTTGAGGAGAAATTTCATTCCTTTCTAATTAGCTCACTGGGCATGATTAAGATTCTCAATGAGGAGAATCTTAAAAAATGCCAAGAGCACATTAACACACATCATAATCTTGATGTACATATTGATAATAATTCTCTTTCAGATAACGATAGAGGCCGTAGCCCTATCAAGCTACACGATAATTCGTCAAATAACACCGACGATGAAATAACTTTAGACAAAGATATATCTTCGGACGAAGATATAACATGTAAGCGCAGAGGCGACCAAACTGTTAGAATTAGTAAATTCGCACCTTGCTGCAAAGAAACTAAAACTTAGCATGAAAGCATGCAAATTCTTCACAGCAAATTGATAATAAAAAACCAAGGAACAAAAAATACTAACGGCAATGCCAAACAATCTATTACTGAAAACCATCAGAGAACAAGCGGATAATCCGATCATGGACACTTCCAATCAGGAAGATGCTACTATCAATCTTGATAATACTTCGACCAATTCTAACAACAAAAATCAGGAAACCAAATCAAATAAACTCCCTCCAATCATACTTCGAGAAAACAAATTCTCATATAGTAAAATTAAAAATATTTTCAATCAAAAGCATTTCAAATTTATAGGTAATAGTATTCCTGATGGAATTAAAATTACTACCACAGACCCTGATACCTATAGGGCTATGGTTAAAACTCTTAAGGACCTAGGGGTGGAGCACCACTCTTACATTCTCCCCCAGGATCGAAAACTTAAAGTCGTAATCAAAGGACTCCTTAGGAGTACGGAGACAGAAGAAATAAAAGAAGAACTAGAGGAACTAAATTTCAAACCTGAAGAAATCAAGCAGCTTAACTAAAAGAAGGAATGGAGAAGTTACTAAACTTCCCTTATTTCTTAATAACTCTACCTAAAGACGAAGCCTCCAAAGAAATTTACCAAACTAAATACTTATGCGGACTCAGAATTAACGTTGAGGAATACAGAGGCAGACAAGGTCCCTTACAATGTTTTAAATGTCAGGGCTTTAACCATACTCAGATTGGATTGTAACTACCAACCCCGTTGCGTCAGATGTGCAGGATCGCACGAATCTAGAGACTGCCCTGACAAAAACAATAAGGATAAACCCCTGCTCTGTGCTAAACTGCGGCCAGAACCATACTTCTAGTTTCAAAGGGTGTGTAAAGTTCCCCAAACCTAAGCAGGAAAAACAGAAAACATACCAAAGCCGAATCATCGAAGGTAAATCATATGCGCAAACACTTAGCTTCTGGCACTTAGAACGAAACTATCAGTGAAGCAAAAAAGATTTTCTCAGACCTTGCGGAATTAGTTTCCATCATCAAAAGCGCAGGTTTCCTGCAAATCACACAGCAAATCAAGCAGATAAATAATACCAATGAGGAGAAGAAAACAAATACCAATCTTAATAATGGGTCTTAACTCTATTATCAAAGCACCCATACAAGTTATGATCTGGAATGCTAATAACATCCTCAATAAAATTCCGGAACTTCAAAATTTTCTCCTAACTAAAGATATTGATATTGCATTAATTACTGAAACGCATGCAAATCCCAGCAAAAGAATAAATATTCCAAACTACCAAACTACCGGTGCTACCGGTGTGACAGACTTAGCCACAAAGGTGGAGGGGCTAGCCATTTTTGTCAAAAGCTCTATACAATCCTGCCTCATAAAGGAAGATAGATCCAATAATCACGAATTAGTTAACGGTTTCTGTTTTACTACCTTCTTACGGCATCATCTACTTCAGTTCTCTTTACAATCCCTCCACATAACCCTCTCGACGAAGAAATTTTCTGAAGAACATCTTATGTACCAATATATAACAATATACTGGCTGGAGACCTCAATGCGAAAAATAGTGAATGGGCTTGCCGGCAGACCAACAGCAATGGCAATATGCTCAAAAATTTCATTACTAACTACCCTGTTTATTTATACGCTCCAGATAACTATACCTACCTCCCTGAGAATGTGAGAGAAGGAGATATTCTCGACATTCTCCTCACCAATATTTCCATACCTATCTTTATTGATTCTACTATAGACCTCACCTCTGATCATATTCCTGTTATTGCTACCCTTGGCACCAACAAAATTGCCAATGAAAAATCCATCAATAAAACTGACTGGAAACGATTCTATGAAATTCTTGAAAATAACCCACCTAAACTCAATAGCCTCAAAACTACTTATGACATCGAAGTTGCCATTGATATGCTCACTAACAGTATCAAGAATGCCTATAAACTCTGCCACACAGAAGATTCCAGCCAAACAAATTCCAGGAGATTCTCCCCCATAGCATTAGAACACTATTAAAGAGAGAAATAAGCTCAGGAAACGCTGGAACCGGTCCTGGGACCCTCAAATTAAATCCGAACTCAATAAAATTAACAGATTAATCAAGAAAAATATTACTAACTACAAGACTGAGCTTTGGCAAAAATGAGCCCGGAAATGAATTCTGGAGCTTTGCCAAGCGCCTCAGAATTACTCCCACCTGTAATAAGCCCATCCAAAAAGATGACAAAATTGCAATAACCAACCAGGACAAAGCTACTCTTATGGCGGAGCACTTTGAAAATCAGTTTATCCCAAATGAAACTCCTTCAGACCCTACCTTCACATATGATGTAAGATACTTTGTTCAGAATTATATCAATAGCCCCACCGCAAGACTCAATACGGATTTTACTAATCCGAAAGAGGTCATCGATATCATTAAACGTCTCAAAAACAGAAAAGCTCCAGGTTATGATGAAATTAATAATATCGCAATTAAGAATCTTCCACTCAGCACTATCTCTAGACTTATCAGTATTTATAATGCTTCTCTGGACAAGTCCTACTTCCCCATGAATTGGAAAATAGCTAAAATTATTCTCATCCCTAAACCAGGCAAAGACACCACTTCTCCCGATGGCTACCGACCTATCAGCCTACTGCCCGGACTTGGCAAGATCCTTGAAAGAATTATTCTCAATAGAATGCAACAATATATTAGCAGACATCCTCCTGAACAGTTTGGATTTAGAAAAACATTATCCACCACTAAACAACTTGTTCGATTAGTTGAGTTTATAGGCAGTGCTCTTCACAACCATCAGAAAGTTGCACTTACTCATGCTTGACGTGGCCAAAGCTTTTGACCGCGTCTGGCATGAGGGGCTTATTTTCAAATTAATCAAGCTCAACTTCTCACCGGATATGACCAAGTTGATTTATTCCTTCATCAAAAATAGAAAATTCTACGTTTCCTTTGGACAAGATAATTCAAGTTTCAAATACGTCCGTGCCTCTGTAGCCCAAGGCTCTATTTTAGGACCCATCCTTTATCTTTTTTATGTATCTGACTTCCCAAATCCTGACTATGAAATCAACAGATTCCTTGGCTGCTATGCGGATGATACTGCTCTTGCAGTAAAATCCCTTAGCCCCAATGCTGCAATATTAAAACTTCAAAATTTCATGCCCTCGATCGAACAATGGTGCAAGCAATGGCGTATCGTAATTAATGCTGAGAAATCTCAGCTACTCATTATCAGCAGAAATAGAAAGACACATCAAATCATCACTAATGATCTTAAACTCTTTGATAAAAATATACCCATTGTCAATAAAGCTAAATATCTTGGAATCACCATTAATCATCGACTTACCTGGACTGACCACATCAAAATAATTAAAGGCAAGGCCTACGGCAACATGAAAAACCTCATGCCTCTGCTGGGAAAGTACTCTGAGCTTAATCTCAAAAGTAAAAAGCATATATTATACAGCAATCATCAGGCCCACCCTTTGTTATGCGTCGCCTGCCTGGGCTGCTATCAAAGATAAGGATATTAAACAACTCAAATTCAAATAATACAAAACAAGTTTTTAAGACTTATCACGAATGCACATTTCTACGTCTTCAAATGCCACCCTGCATAAGGACTTAAAGATTGACTACATCAAAGATTTCATTTTGAAGACGAAATGAAAAATTTTTCAATAAGGCTCTCAATTGTCCCATTTATGAATCCAATTTCAAGTTTTTAACTACTACGCTCCCTTTACCTGAAGATAGAGACCTGAGGCCCTGGGCGGCCCATCAGTTCAACCAAAATTTCCCGAACTTGACATTACTGTACATATCTGTATATATTTATTTTGCAATCGTATTCACTTTTATATTAATCCAGATTTTGCATTTACTCCAGCTTTTTATAGTTTATTATTTTGCCATGTATTACCTTTAATTGTGTTGTACATATGTATTATATTTAATTTTCTTTATTTTCAGGAACTCCTATACATTATGCATGTTTTATCTTTATATATCCCAGAATTACTTTACGCATGTATTTATGTTTATTCACTACTTTATTGATTTATTCAAATTTTTATATTATGTATTTCTCCTCAATCTTATACATCTTTAGGAAATTATCAGGAAAAGATAATGCTTTCCCACCACCGCGTTCTCCAATAAGTCTGGTTCTCATTCTGTGACGCAGGGTCACCCCCTTTTCTCTTGACCTTTAGTTACCACCAACTAACTGTAAGAACGACTGATTTCAGGTGCCAT